GCGACTCCTTCAAGCTCGCCGCGCAAGCTCATCTCGCACCTCACTAGGGATCACTCCAGGGAATAAGATACTGGTGGGAGAGGACCATAGCGTTTCGACCTTGCTTAGGGAAAAGGATGCAGAGATTGCTGAGCTTCGGGCCCGGTTGGAGGATAAGGACAGAATGTTGGCGGCCTTGCGGAGCGCGGCAAGATCAAGGGATAACGCGGACCGCGTCGAGTCGAGGACTAGCAATCGCAACTCGCGGGTCTTTTCCGATGATGGCAACTACAGCCTTACCCCGGGCGTTACCACGCTCAACAGCCCAACCGGTTCCACGCCGACGTTGAGTAGGCAGGTGTCGCTTATGAACAGCACCAGGACACGGACAAAGAGCGTCGATGAGATGAGCAGGATGCTGGACGACATGATCCAGGATCGCGTCGAATCCGGCCAGCTTATCCGTGGGAACAGGGGAAGCATTAGAGTCGCGCCCACGCCCGCTCCGACGATGCCGCCGCCGCCACCGCCAGGACCAGTCAATGGTGAAATCCACCGCGAGCCAGTTCGACTTTCGCAGCGAACGCCATCGAGGACACCATCGCCGCCGACCCAGATGAACGAACCGCCTATCAAACTCCAGTTGCTGTCGAAACTTAGGACGTCGTATGTTGCTGAGTCTCAGAATCCGGTCATCATGGAGGTGTAGACGGCCTCACTATCATTCGCAGGGAACTTTTTCCTGTGTTGTTTCTTTTTTAACCCGCATCTCGTGTGTTTGGATGCGATTGATTTGCGCCATATGATGATTTTATACCCGAGTTGCATTTTTTTATCCTTTTGTTCTTGCTATCATTTGCCTATTTCAAACAAGCCCCCTTTTTGAGGGAACGCCCCCTCTCGGGATTGGGGGAGTTTCCTGGTTACGAAGAGATGAACGAGTTGGTTGGTTGGTTGGTTGGTTGGTTGTCGAATTTGTTTTGTTTTTGTTGCTGCCGAACCCGAAAAAGGCGCTGTATCATATCCTGTTTTACTTTCTCCTGTGTGCATGCATATATAAGATGTATTCTTTGCTATTTCTTCTTTACCCTCTTTGATCGTCAAGCTCGGGCTACGGGGAGGGGAGAAGGTTTTTCATGACAAGACAAGCGGAATTTGGAATGGGTTTAGACGATGGATTGGAAGGAAGAGAAGGTCAAAACACACATATCATCATCATGGCTTTGAAAGTTTTTTATAGTTGGTCTCAACGACCGCGAGGCGGGGGGGCCGAGAGATCGGGAGTTAGAGAAGGAGGAGAAAGGAGGAGATAAGATACCGATATGATTACAATCAAAACACACAAGCGGGTTACAAACGCGATATATCCTCATGCCTAAGTTTCGCTGCAGCCTAACATTATCCAATGTCGTGAAGTCGGCTATGGAATCTTCAATGTAGCACAAGTAGCCAAACCGCAATAATGACATTGGTGTTGAAGCTCGCATGATTCTGACGACGACTGTTTATCAGATAGATTGTTCAGATGCGAGGAACTCCATTATATAGCCCCATGGTCCCGTCAATAGTGGTTGGGACGCTATTCTTGGAGACGGCATGTATAGTATGTAAGCATGTAAGCAGACGATCCCGAACGGGTATTCGCTAGAGTTGATGAACCCTTCAACCGACAACAGCATGTCGGGTTCATGACTCGGGACTCGAGACGCAATATCTCGAGGCCAAAGATATAGCATTGAGAGCGGTTGGTTACTTATACGACTTATACCCAAGGTGACGGGAGTCCTCAATCATGGATTGCTTGCACTTGCACACTTTGCGATATATATTTACCTTTACCGCAACTTCGGTCGGTCGGTCGGTCGGTCAGTAATTGGGTGGGCAAAATCCTTCCCACGCATCTATCCATTCATATGTAGAGGTATGTAAAGGTGTGTATCAATCCCAAACTCCCGTTGTGTTCCACGACCGCTTCCACGACCGCTTCCACGACCGCTTCCACTGCTTCCACCGCATGAGACGAGGCGAGGCGAAGGCGAAGGCGAAGCAGGGTGAAGTAGGGTGAAGCAAAGGTCGGTAGAGGTAGGAAAGGATTACTTGCATACGGCACTTGAGCTTGCGGTCCCGACTTCAGTGGCTTCGGTTGCTTTGCGCATTCACACACAAGTCGATGCGATACATACGATACGATGCAAGATGATATCCTGCCTGCATTTCTTTTGTACTGCATGCTGCAGGTCCCACGCATGTAGTATGTTGTGAACGGTTTGCTTTGTGGTTTCATCATCATTGTCAGCATAATCGTCGTCGTCCGGGCCCGAGGGTATGGAACTCTCGTATAGGTAGTGATGAGTACCATGAAGCTGGGGAGTGCCTGGTCGACCGAGGTCTGTTTTGTGTTGCTCGGTGTCGGTTTCTGGTGGCATCATTAATATGATCATATCATCATATGCAAATGAGATTCAGATTCGAAACGAAGGACGGGCCGCCGTACCCGCGCATCCGCAAAATCAAAGTCAATTTCATATATGAATCCTTCAAATCCTTCCCGAAAGAGATTCGGATGATGACGAACTCGAAAACGAAGACCCCAGGACCCTTCAGTCTTGGCATTCACACATTTCACAGAAAAAAAAGCGGGGACTCTTTTGGTCGCTGTGCCTGCTGCCCTGAAATGTGGCGTCCTCTTTTCGCAAATCTGATTGGTCTTTCACAGAGACCCCTAGCACGTTTCAGATTCGACAGGGGGGCCGAGAAATGGAGATCGTCGTCCCGAAATCCACAATTGTGATTCTCTTTCCTCCGTCATTTTCGCATTGGATGTTACAATATAAATCACCGAAGTCGGAACCGACTCCAACACCGACCGCGCGCATGGGACTGAAGGAGCCAAGGGCATCGCAGCAGTGGAAGAGGGGCTGCGAGAGATGAAGAGGGAGGAGCAGGTATCAAGTTGTGAAGCTTGTGGAGCTTGTGATAGTGCCGCGGGTACTGGAAATGCCAATGTCGATTAGTTGGATTCTTCTTCGTCCATGGAAGATTACCTACCTAACATGCCTAACATGCCTCAGCTGGAAGCGCGCTGTTGAGGATTACCGAGGATACTTGGGGGCTTCGTGTCGTCTTGTCAAACCCGTCAAACAACGAACCATCTTTTGGTTTCAAGCGAGTTCACCATGATCAGCTTTACGCGGCGGTGGCGGCGGAGACGGACAGTATCAAGTTGATGACAGGCAAACGAAGCCGTGTCTGCATCAGATCACTACCGTTTGTTGATTGATTTTTCGGTCCGACGAAACGAATGCGGAAGGTGTCCTTATTCGGGTTTCCGTGATCACGTTCCGTCGTTACAAGCCGAGTACATGTCCGCCCCTCTCTTTTTCTTGTCCTCCATCACATTCCCCATTCCCCATGCTGTAGTGCACAGCAAAGAAACATGTGCACGTTGTAGGTAAATAAGATCGGCTTTTATTGCATCGAGGCATGGCATTACTGGGAGATCAAAGTGTTTGATGATTACCCCTTATCATTTGCTCTGGTCGCCGACCATTTTTCGCAAATCTCACATGCGCTCCATCAGTTTGTAACAATGTCGATGTGATCAAAGGTCACCACGGTGCATTTCCCTCCGGTAGTCCCGTCCGCGTCTGCGTTTGCGGCGGCGGCAACATCTGGTCTCCATGGGTTAGGTGGTTTCCACAGCTTCCACTCACTTGTCAGACGCCCGTTTGCGGGTTTCAACACCGGTCGCTGGTGTCACAGCGTTTTCCTTTTCATGCCCGGCCAACCCTCCCCCGCCCCATCTCATCCAGTCCCTCGCATTCGTGCATCGTGGGACAGAAACTCATACACACGGCAATGGCTCAACATATAGTAGCCCCCATATAGCAGCTCACCACTGATACTATCGCTCTGCTAAGGTGTGCCTCTTTTTACCCCCTCACGTCATCCCAACCGCCTGCCGCCGCCGCCGCCGCCTTCGATCCTATCCCTTGGAGCTTCGCTTGACTTCGCTTGGAGGGGTTGCGTTCTTCTGGAAAGATCTGCTCAGATCGTTTCCGCCCTTCCAAGTCTCCAACGGCTCGACGCTTCGACTACTGCAGATCAACACATCGAAAAGGGCCCCTCATCCCGGTCAATGGTGATCCTTGGGTTGTGACGCTGCTCTCCTGCCCAAGGCCCTTGCAGACATCTGGGGACGATCGTCGTCGGTCCTGTCCTCTCTGGCCAATCCGCTTTACCCGGCCCTCAAGAATATCCACGGCGGAATCCACCAAGCGGTCATCCCTTCTTCACCTTGTCACCACACTGCCCCAACCCGTCAACCCGCGAGTCTGCGCGAGGGAAGGTGTTCTGGGGCAGAACGGTTGGGATTTGTGTACTGATCTTCGCTTCGAAAAAGCCTGGGAATCTCAGTTTGGCATCCATATCCTCCCTGTTTCGCTTCTTCCACCGCTCATCCTATTCTACTGTTAACCCCCTCAACCCCCCCCCTCCCCTCCTTTTTATCTAGACCTCGAACCTGGATCCCGTAAACCCCTATACTACTTTCCCCGCCGCCGCTCGAGGGAGACACGGAACTTCCCTCAACTACTTATCAACCGGGCCTGTCAAAGTCAACATCGCTCGCTAGCCCCTAGATTGGGATTTGCACATGTGCTACTTCGCTACCTGGTTATCATTAAGCATGTCGACTTTCTACCGAGTAGCTTAATCTTGTTCGCCGCCCTCGACTCTATTGTCGCTGGACAGTCAACCTCTGGGCGCACCTTTTCCTTCCCAAAAACAGCAACACAACGTTTGCCGGCTTCCGGATTGCCCTGGTATTCTTCGTCCATCCGGTTACGGTCGTCTCGCCTCGGAGACGTACACCGGAACTTTCATACTTGACCACAACCAACTCTGAGAGTTGGATCCATATACACGCTCCTTCTGATCACAGCAACAAGCCACCAGCACTTTACTTCTCAACGGACCCTCTGCTTGTGTAGCCATCGGTCCCTCACACATTTACACCAAAAATGCCACCTACTCTCGACTTGAGTAGGACGAGACACTCCAAAATGATTATCTCTCCGCCCCGAATCAACCTGCGGAGGGCAGCCTCTTACCACCACGACAAGGGCCCCCTCTCTGCGACATCCTCCCGTTTCAACTTCGACCACCTCATGTTCTCTCCTCCTCCGTCACCAAGCCTACCGTCGCTCTCGCCTCCGCTGCGCAAACCGTCCAAAGGATTCGCGGGATTCGTCCGGCCCAGGAGGGTTGTCCGTTACATCCTGTACACATGCGGACTTGTTTTTGTTTTCTACGCGATCAAGTGGTTATTCACACAGAGCCCGGTGCTCTCCTTCCTTTCTCGGCCGTATGACCACTCGCTAGTGTCACGAGCCGACCTACCAGATCACCCAGCACCCATCTTGTTGACCGAATCGCGGGGCAGGACCAGCTGGACAGTTTCGATACCCCAAGGGTCGGAGTTCCCTCCTACCGCCGAGCAGTTTGCGGACGTGTGTGAAAAGTGTCGGGAGACGGCGGAACGGGTGCAGAAACTGCGATCACAGAAGAGCAGCATACAACAAACATATCTGGGGTTTCTGTCTGATGTGACTGACTCCCACTTTATCGACGTAAAGGAAGCCCAGCAGGCTGGGTACCTACCCGCGCCCGCGGACAGAGCGCAAGACGTGGTGAAGACTCTAGTGGGGGAAACCGTAGAAGGGACGATACCGAAGCCTGTTTGCGAGAAAAGCTTGACGTTTGTTCTCGAGTCAGGCGACGCCGGGTTGGGAAAGACTCTGATGATGCTCTGGACGGCCTACGGGCTGGCGCAAAAAGAAGGCCGCGCCTTCTTCATCGACGACAGCCGCTGGAGCTACGGGAAGTACATGGACATCTTCCAAGCACCTCCTCGCGAGGACTGCGGACCGCCTCCCAGACACGAGATGCTCCCCTGCCCACTCGAAGCGCGCCACCTGGTCGTTTCCACCCGGACGGCCATCGACCTTTTCGGCGAGCTGCTTGTGGGAGGCTCCTCCGACGACCCACTAGAGCGACTAGAACCGTCCGCACAAAAGAAGATGTTCAACCTCGCCCGCCAAGGCCACGACGCGCTCTTCCGCCTCAACAAAGACGACAACGTCTACGTCGACAACCGCGTCCGCGACCTCATGGCCAAGCGGATCGTGCCCAAGACCAAAGGAAAACAAAACGGCCTGGCCATCGGCATCCACGTCCGCCGCGGCGACCGCCACCCCTTCGAGTTCCAGTACCGTTCTTCCTACATGCCCGTCAACATCTACGCCGAAACCGCGCGCGAGATTTTGGAGGATAAGTTCAACCACACGGGCCCGCACGGGGCCGAGGACGCCGTCGCCAAGTCCCACAGCCTCATGATTCTTGCCTCGGACGACCCCATGATCTACCAAGCCACCGAGTTCAAGGGCGCAACTCTCGCGCAGGAGCGCATCAAGCTGGCCGCCAAGCAGGAGATGAAGCAACCCGAGCTCGACAGGAATGTGATGCACAAGTTCCACGACGAGGCGTTCGGCTGGGAGGGCGGGTTTTTCTCGGCCATGTTCTGGAACCTGGGCCAGTCCAGCTCCAGCGCGGATGTAGAGGCTCACAAGAAAAGTCCATCGGCTGATGCGATCCGGCTTAGGAGCCTGGTGGGCCGCGCGTACATGATGGATTTGGCTGTGCTGGCGGACGCGAGCGATGTGGTTATTTGTACTGTCAGTGCGGTGGGATGCAGGTTGTTGGCGGTCATGATGGGCTGGGAGAGTGCGATGGAGAAGGGGAATTGGGTTAATATTGATGGGGGGTATGGGTGGAGGGGTGTTTCTTCGTGATGTGATGGTCTTACTGCTTGGTCAACATGATGGACTAGCAGCTAGGGGACGGATCCCCAGGGGAAGTGAACAAGGAAGAAAGGACGGCTGATGGACCAAAACATGGTTCAGAATTATCAACAATGACAACCAACAACACAACAAACTTGTCAAGTCATAGCGCTCTGCAGCTTTTCGCATTTCGGACGGCGTTCAACCAGGAGTTAACTACATTTTCGGGGTAAAAAAGGGGGAGCATTGATCATTCCGGAACTCAACTTGGGATAGGGCACTCATGATACCACACACAAATACGCATTCACTAAAGCTTTTCTGTTTCGTACTCGTTTTCTTATTTCAATGTCAGATAGTAGGATATGTCCTGGCTCTCTGTTAGCATCAGCATCGATTCTTGTCTTCTTGCATGTATGCATTGCCAACAAGAAGAACTAGTGGCTTTGGTTGGGGCTACCTATGTAGTGTATAGAGAAGCAACTAAGGGGTGGGGGGAGCTATGGAAATGGAAGATATCAAGCCACCTGATTCAGATACCTGCCTATTCATACATGACCATACAAGTCATTCGCTCGCAAGAAGCCGGCACCAACAGATTTTCAATCACAAGTCCGATCCATCAACACATGAATCCGAATACGTCTGTGTAAGCACCCAATGACGTCATTGCATTACCTCTCTATTTCATTGGCGAATTCCACGTCTTTGACTTTGTTCACTTTTTTTTTTGCCGGACAGATAGTGAGTGGTGGCCAGCAAAGGCGAGGGACGACGCAAGATGGCTTGCATTGGCGGGATTGAGACGAGAGCGGGAGTAGCCGATGTGGCAAAGCACAGACTCGAATGCCAAGAGATGGCTCAATTGAACTCCATCTTTACCCCTTTTGTTTGTAAGGAAGTTTCTTTCAACACAAGAATGGAATGTTGGCCACTTGCTCCCGTTTTTGCGATATCGTGAGATGTTTGAGAGGGGTGAAGTAGATAGCGGCCATCCAAGTAGTATCCAAGTTATCTGTTTTACCACTGCATCTGCAGTCAGGCATACATACATACTTCTACTTCTGAATGTTATGCACCGTTGTTGTCAATCGTATTCGTACTCGCCGCGTTCCGAAAGACGTTGAAACTTTGAAGATGAACATCCAAGATCGAGACAGCTTTCCAATCGTGTCTTTCCATGGGAGAAACCGTCAGATGCGATTTCCCCCATGGCATGATCTTGGGCTGAGGTTGCCAGTGCGGCAAGGATAATTTGGATGATCTTTGAAGGGTACGTACCGTTCAATCGGAATCCGAATACGAATTCCGTCTCTGATTGGCTGAGAGACATCAAACTGCCCGACTCCTATTCGCCCAGAGGGAAAGCTGCCCCTGACTCTGAGAGGTGGGCATTGCCAAGCTGGTGGAAGTGTTCTGCTGTCATCCCTATCGGCCTATCGCCTTGGTTCTAGTGTAGGAAGGCTACGACAACCGCCAACCATCGACCGACTTTATAAAAATCAAGTCGAGTCGCCCATCTTCTCCCTTTTTACCCCCCTCCTCAGGCTTCATTCATTCTCTTGATTGTTTTGTTGCCGGCGTCCACGACTTCAGTTCTTCCCCTCCACGCCTTCTCCCCCCCCCTTCTCCAATCATGGGCATCCTGCAAGTCGTTGCGGGACCGTTGTCCCAGCAGTTTTCCCAGCTGGGATGTGTGTCGCAAATCGGTGTCGCGATCGCCTCCTTTCTGTTTGTCGCCGTCGTCGTCAACGTCCTCCAGCAGTTCCTCTTCAAGAAGCCCAATGAGCCTCCTCTCGTCTTCCACTGGTTCCCTCTCATCGGCAGCACCATTACGTATGGTATGGACCCGCCGCGTTTCTTCAAGGAGAACAGGGAAAAGGTAGAGACAACCCCCTTTCGAATTACTGCCCGACACGCGCGCGGAACTTGGCTTGCTAACAACTTTGGCGCTCGAACAGTACGGCGATTGCTTCACCTTCATCCTCCTCGGAAAGAAGACCACCGTCTACGTCGGCCCCAAGGGCAACGATTTCATCTTGAACGGCAAGATTCGCGATGTCAACGCCGAAGAGATTTACACCGTCCTTACTACCCCTGTTTTCGGCAAGGATGTCGTCTACGATTGCCCCAACTCCAAGCTTATGGAGCAGAAGAAGGTTAGCAGAAGAAAAAAGAAGATGGAAGTGGTAGACAGCGGGCTAACAGACAGTTCCCACAGTTCATGAAGATTGCGCTCACCACCGAGGCTTTCCGCCAATACGTCCCCATCATCTCCGATGAGGTTACCAACTACCTCAAGAGAACCGCCGACTTCAAGGGCAAATCCGGCATTGTTGACATCCCCCCCAAGATGGCCCAGATCACCATTTTCACCGCCTCGCACGCTCTTCAGGGCAAGGAGATTCGCGACAAGTTCGACGAGTCGCTCGCCGACCTCTACCACGACCTCGACATGGGTTTCTCTCCCATCAACTTCATGCTTCACTGGGCCCCTCTTCCCTGGAACAACCGCCGCGACTACGCCCAGCGCACCATCGCCAAGATCTACATGGACACCATCAAGGAGCGTCGCGCTCGCGGCGAGACCGGCGCCCAGGACATCATGTGGCACCTGATGAACTCGACCTACAAGGGCAACGTGCCCGTTCCCGACCACGAGGTCGCCCACATGATGATCGCCCTCCTCATGGCCGGCCAACACTCTTCGTCTTCCACCAGCTCCTGGATCATGCTCCGCCTCGCCTCGCGCCCCGACATCATGGAGGATCTCTACAACGAACAAGTCAAGAACCTCGGCGCCGACCTGCCCCCGCTCACCTACGAGGACCTTGCCAAGCTGCCCCTGCATGCCGCCATCGTCAAGGAAACCCTCCGCCTGCACGCCCCCATCCACTCCATCATGCGCGCCGTCAAGACGCCCATGCCCGTCCCCGGAACCAAGTACGTCATCCCGACCGACCACGTCCTCCTCGCCGCCCCCGGCGTCTCCGCCACCGACGAGTCCTACTTCCCCCAGCCCGACCTGTGGGAGCCCCACCGCTGGGAGAAGGACTCGCCCCTCGCCCCCACCATCGTCCGCAACGTCTCCAGCGAGGAGGACGATGAGAAGATCGATTACGGCTACGGTCTCGTCAGCAAGGGCGCCAATTCCCCTTACCTGCCCTTCGGCGCTGGTCGTCATCGTTGCATTGGCGAGCAGTTCGCCAATTTGCAGCTGCAGACTATTCTTGCTGTTATTGTTCGTAACTTCAAGTTCAGGAACGTGGATGGTAGCGATAAGGTTATTGGTACCGATTATGCTTCGTTGTTCTCGAGGCCCCTTGAGCCCGCGAAGATTTACTGGGAGAGGAGGGAGGGTTGCCAGTTGTAAGAGACAGGCGTGGTGATGAGGAAATGGGGTGATTAGATGGGCGTTCATTGGTTTCAGTTGTTATTTTTATACAACACTGCATGGAATTGGGTCTACGGCATATAATGACGTGATTGATCAATCATGAAAATGAAAGAGCTCTTGGAGGCAGGATAGAGATTAGAGCTCGATGAGAGGAGAGTGTCCAGAGCAGGGGAAGAAAGAGGGAAGTTGCATTATAGCTAATACCTAATACCAACGAACGAACGCGGTGGCCTCATTGTTGAAGAACACCGCATCCATCCATCCATGACTGTTGTGTGCACATTTTGATGTTGATGATTGCTGATGTTGCGTTTGATAATGATGTGGTTGTCAGAGAGAAGATCTGCCAAGTCCGAAAGGACAACATAACCAGTTCGCATTGGTGAGCCAAACAATCCGAGTCGAGTCCGACAACAACGCGAACGTGTCCTGAATACTTGGTTAACAACATCGAATAGGTGGAAAGGAAAGGAAGTGAAAAGCAAATTGCCTTTCTTCTTCAAGTGAGTCATTTACGGTTTTCGATCGTTACTTTGGAAAATTTACACGACTTGGCCGATCGAATGGCTATGGGACGGATACTTACGTCTTCAGGTAACTCGCTCACCTCGGGTTGGCCTCGGGTGGGAAAGAGAGAAAACAGCGGTTGATATCTAGGTGATTCCAGAAGAGAGAAAAACACAACAGTCTTTGAACAGAAAGGCCAAACATGTCGATTCATCTTTTGTAGCCGTCGACTTGACGCACTCGCTACCCTGAGCATTCGATACAAATAGTTACTCCGGGAAGCACTTTTCTTCTCTTCGATGATATCACCTTGAACAAACCGAACTCAACACCCCCAACCAACATTACCATCATAACCATCATAACCATCATAACCAACATCAACACCAACATCACCACTGAAAACCAGAACCATCCAAAGATGTCAACAAACAATTCAGGCAACCGCGGCCGTCGCCGCCAATCCCATCGTCTCCTCACCAAGTCCTCGAAAAAACCCAAACCCCCATCCCCCCTCGCCGCCCTCCTAACAGCCACCTTCCTCCTCCTCATCATCGTCATCTTCCCCCTAGCCATCTCTCTACTACCTCTCCCGGTCGGAGCGAGTGCGTACCCCACGGATGATGACTATGGAAGCGAGGAAAAAGGCACACCACCACCACCCGTGATTGCCATAGACTTTGGGGTGACGAACTCGAGGGTTGGGGTTGGGGGTGGGTTTTGGAGAAAGGGGGAGGGGGAGGTGGAGGTGGAGGTTTTTGGTACTGATGATGGGAAGGGGGGGAGGAAGGTGGTGGTGCCTAATTGGGTTGTTTTTAGGGATGGGGCTGGGGGTGGGAGTGGGAAGAGTGGTGTTTGGGAGGGAGGAGGGGATGAAGGGGTCGTCGGAGGGGAGGACGAAGTCTACTATGAAGGGGTGGAGGTTTTAGTAGGAGAGGAGGCGAGGGAGTGGGCTTCTTTGAAGGGGGACGGGGACCCTTCAGCGGCGGCGGTGTTTGATGTAAGGTATGTATGTCATTCATCAACCTCTATTCTAACGAAGTCTGGTTTTGCTTTGGCTGGCTGGCTGGCTGGCTGGCTGGCTAACTGCTCCAACAAAAAAGACGTCTCCTAGGCCGAAACTTCTCCGATCCCGAGTTCCAAAGAGAAATCCGCCATTTGCCCTTCAAGGTCACGCATGACTGTTGTGGTAGTGATGTGCCTGTTATCGAGGTTGAGATTGAGGAGGATATGAGCATTCTTGCCGGTGAAGGAGGACAGGATAGTAGTAACACGACCGCGAAAAGGGTGTTGAGGTATACCCCTGAGCAAATCACGGCCATGATTTTTAGGGAGTTGAAGGGGATTGCTGAGAGGGAGATTGGTGAGGAGTAAGTTTCCGTTGTCTTCTTTCTTCTTTTTCCTTCCTTCTTTCCCTCTTTCCCTCTTGCCCCATCTCTAACAGACTCCCATCATTGCAGCGTCACCCAAGCCGTCGTCACCATCCCCCTCGCCCCCGGTCTCCATTCCTACAGCACCGATTCATACACCTCTTTTCCCACCAACTACCAAGCAGCCCAACGATTCGAAGAAGCCTACAGAACCGCCCTCCGCCACGCCGCCTCCCTTGCCGGTTTAGAAGTAATCCGCTTCGTGAAAGAACCCGTAGCCGCCGCCATAGCCTATGGACTAGATAGGGATTCTGACGGGGAAGAGAGAACGGTGCTCGTGTACGATTTGGGTGGAACTTCGCTTGATGTCACGGTTGTGACCGTGGAAGAGGGGGTCTTTGAGGTTTTGGGTAGTGAGAGGGTTGAGGGGTGGTATGGGGGGAGAAAGATGGATGGGAATGTGGCGAGGTGGGTTTTGAAAGAGGTGGCGGCGCGGATGGGACGTGGTGGTGGCCGTGGGGATCGGGATGGGAAGGTAGGTGGTCATATGCAATCGGAAGATATAATGATGCTGGATCCGAAGCTCGTAAGGAAGGTAAAGAAAGAGGTAGCGGAGAGTGTGAAGGTGGCGCTCTCGGGGCAAGAAGCGGTGGAGATTGATGTCGGGGAACTGTTGACCAACTTGGGCGGGATGGAGAGGAACTTGACCATGACGAGGAGGGACTTTGAGGATGTGAACCATGTTCTGGTTTACGACACGCTTTCGGCGGTTGGAAGGGTATTGTTGGCTGCCAATGTTTGGTGGAATGAGGTGGATGATGTTATTGTGGTGGGAGGGTCAGGAAAGATCCCGATGGTGAGAAGGGTGGTTGAGCGGTACTTTAGGAGGGAGAACATGACGCTCAGGGAAGGAAACGTCGATCCGGCGGAGGCGGTGGTTTTCGGGGCGGCTATTCAGGCTATGGTGAGTGAAGATTGGATCTTGGGATACGAGGATGTCGAGTTAATGATTATTCACAGGTGCTCTCCGGGGCTGAGTTTGAGGATTGCCCGCTGGGTGCCTTTGACATTACTCCGATTGCAATCGGCGTTGAGACGGCAGGAGGTGTCATGGTATGATCTCGTTCCCCCGGTACAAGACCAGTTCGAGATGTGTTCAAACTGCTGGCTAACAGACTTCAAGACTAGAATCATCCACCGTTACACTCCCATCCCCACAGTCAGTCCATTCCCCCCTTCTTCAAGTCCTTTAACCAGTTGGCTCTAACACGCCATCATGAACAGCGCCGATCAGCAACATTTACAACATCAACCGGTACGCCCTTTCAACTCATCTATCCATCCGATCACACTCCTCTATCTGTCCGCACTAACAGCAAGTAACAGACAACCAAACTACTCTCACCCTCAACATCTTCCAAGGAAACCGCCCCTTCACATCCTCCAATCACCTCCTAGCCACAATCCCCATCGACCTCGCCAGCTTCAGCATCGCTCCCAACCTCCCACGAGGTGCTCCCCGGATCTCGTTCACGTTCGAAATCGACTCCAATGGTGTCCTGGAAGTGTTCCTTGGCGACCTGAAAGACGATCGAGAGCCAATAGCTACCGTTCAAACTTCCTACGCCGGCGGAAGTTCCGAAGACCCAGCAAAGTGGGAGAAGATAGAATCCCAGATTGAGGAGGCGGCGCAGTTTGAGATAGAGGATGAGGAGACTAGGGCGAGGCTTAATGCGAGGAGAGAGTTGGCAGGGATGTTAAATGCGGTTAGGCGGCGTCTTTGGATTGTTGACGCTGACGACAGAGAGGATGTCAGAGAGGAAGCAGGGGCTGTTAGGGATGCGCTCAGGGCGGCGGAGGTATGGCTGAAAGAGCACTGGGACGTGGAGACTAATACTGCTGAAGAGTTTGTGAAGGAGAAGGAACTGTTGAGTGGTGTTGTGTCACCTATTTTGGACATTGTTGACTGGGTTTTTGTTGATGAACTTCCTCCGCGTCCTCCGGGAGAGGGGGGTGGGAGTGAAGTGGGGAGTCACGATGAACTCTAAATCTAGGGATGCCTAGTTTACCCGGAGGTCACCACGTTGGAAAGCATGTACACATAATTTCATGAAAGGCCAATCTATACCCGTATCGTAGCAAATTGTCCAGCAAAGACGACGATACAATACGACAAATACATGCATGCCCTCCGCCCGTTCCTGTACACTTCAAGACGACGACGACGAGAAGGAAGACCCCCATATGATAACCCAATCTAACTGAAACGCCATGCTGTGCAACAATCGCTGTTATGTTCTGATTTCATATCATCATCGGAAGAGACATCAAACAAAACAAGCCGCCCGTTGTTGCTTCCAAGAAAGTCCCGAAGTTCCCTCTTCTTTTTCGAAATGAAACACCGGTGCTAATGCAAAATTTGAGTATGTAGAAGAGAGTAGAGATGTTGATGTGTGAGGTAGTAGAAGGTAAGGTATGTTAGGTTAGGTAGCGTAGGTAGTGCGCGCCGGTGAGTTTCCAATAGCCGTGGTGATAACAAACGACGTTTGCCAACACCCACGGCTTTCTCTTTTTTTTCCTCCCTCGCTTGATTTCTGGATTTCCAATTTTGATTTCGTCTTCACCTTCGCCCTCCCCCACCGATGACCATATGCGATATGGCCGGTATGGAGAGAAGAAGGTGGACAAGATAGATCTCGAGTGAGACATAGAGGGAACTATCGCTCTCTTTGTCATGGCAATCTGACTGCTGGCGCAGTGCGCTTAAGCGGAAGCGGAAGCCTTGTTGGCCTCAGCCTCCTCCATGGCCTTCTTATGGGCGAGTCTCTTCTCCTCGGCAGCGACCATATCTGAAGCACAAGTTAGTTAGCGGATCTATGTAAGCTCGAAACAAGCACTTGGGGCAAAAAAAAAAAAAAAAAAAAAAGAACATACCCTGCCAGAGGTTCTGACCCTCGTACTCCTCCTTCTTGATCTTCTTCTCGATCAAGTGCTGGTGAGTAGGATCGTTGGGATCAACGACCATGACGGTCTCCCACCTGCCCTTGCCGCTCTTGGCGTCGGCGGTCTCGAAGGCGGCCGTGGCGATGAGGACGGCGAGCGTCAGGCCCTGGGCGTACACACGGGCCTGGACGAGCTTCTGGCTGGCGCTGAGGTACTTGTTGCGGTTGACGATGGCCATGGCGGCGCCCATGGCGGCGATCCAGGACGCAAAAACGATGCTGTAGCGGTTCTCGCGGCCCCATTCCTTGAAGCGCTGAGCCGGGGTCATGTTGGCCAGGTGCTCCGCCTCGTGCTTCTTCCTGCCGGCCTCGAGGTACTTCATCCCGGGGTCCTTGGCGCGCTGGAAGGTGACGCTGTAGCGCTCGGCCAGGATGATGGCGCCGAAGGTGCCCGCCGAGGTAACCAGGAAGGCGCGGAAGGGGAGCGAGAGCTGGCGGATCAGCTGGTAGCGCTTCATGCCGAACATGACACCGCCGAGACCGAGGATGAGACCGCCGGTACCACCGATCAAACCGCCCTTGACTACCTCGCGGTAGTGAGCCTGCTCCTCTTCCTTGCTGATGACCTTCATGGTTGCTGTTGGTGTCGGGTTACCTTTGGTGGTGTGGTGGTGGTGGTGGTATTGTCGTCTTCGTCGTCGTTGGGATGAGGAAGAAGGTGGAAGTGCGAGGGTTAGGAATTGCGTGCGGAGACAAGTATGTCGTTGCTGTTAGAGGAGCGACGTCGTGAAAGCTAACGTAGGAACAAAACTCGTAGCTAGGATCGGTCGGATGGGGTGATGTCGATAGCGTGCACGGAAGCGGGTGCGTGCGGTAGGCCGGGAGTAAAATAATGTGGGGCCGCTTTGACTAGGAGCAAATGACGCACCACCAACAAGCTGATAACGGAAATCTTGGAAATTTGGAAGACAACTGAAAAGCCGCAAAGCCGTACTTCGCAATTGATGAACAACACTGCAAATGTCAATGACGCTTATATACCACTCCTGATGAACATCATCTATTATATATACTGCGAATACTCAACTCACGCTGATCCATGGAGATGTTCGTTTCCGTGCTTACTAAAAAAAAAACTCTCTCCCCATCTTCCGATTTTTCCCTCTCGGAACATTTCGCTACCGAGTGCTCTCAACCTCACGCCATAGCGGATGAGAGCGACCCGGCGCTTGCTAGAGTGAGCGCGCAGCGAACGGAGCGGACCAATGATGTAATGGAAATACCGAACGGGCCGTGGTGCATACTTAAAAAGCCGCTGCGTAGCTGCTGCCCTACGAAATGGAAAACCCCCGAGACTCTCCCGGAAGACAATGTGACAGCGGGCAGCCGGGCACCGCCGCACGGTCCGCACCACCAGCCAAAGAGGACCCTGAACATTTCGTTCGAGTGCCAAGCGCTGCAAATCAATGGCAGCTGAAAGATTTGACGGGCCGCTGTCAGATATGATATGAGTATCCCCGCCCATGATAGACAGACAGTTCCCGGGTTAAAGCCGACTGCAACCATGATGAATTTCTCAAAGCCGAATTTCGCGATTGACCATCCTTCGGTATCTCCTTTTGTCCATTTCGTTGGTAAAACCGTGACATGTGCCGCATCTTCGGCCTTCGTCTTACAAATCTGAGGAAGAAACTCATGGACATAGATGGTCCTATTCAAAAGATATATATACCTACACGCATTCCCGCTGTCTACATACTAGTTACATGTACGGGCCTTACTTTAACTTGTAACGTTCACAGGTGTCGCCGTCCTCGCCGAAGAACGGGATGATCCTGACGCGGAGCTGGATGACTGGGCCGACACGCTGTGATCCACCCTCGTGAGTTCCGGACGGCGAACAAGCATTCCCGGCCCGTCAGACTACGTCTTCGGCGATTTGGGCCTGATTGGCGGCTCCTTCCAGCCCGAGGGGATCCCTCGTCGCCGAATTTCTTAGACAGGGCCGTAAGCGGTAATACCGTATGCCGCTCAATACCGGTGGTATTGTAAACCGTTCCGGCCGGCAACCGGGCTCCTTTTGACTTGGGTATCAGCCCCGACCGGCAGTCGGTCAGGGCACATTCGTACAGGTTCATCTTGTGTTGACGATCTGCTGGAAATATATTGAACTGCTCGCTTCCTATCCTTCATCGAGTCAGTCATTCATTCTAAATGTAGACTCACTCGGCGAGGGATGCGTGAGTGTGTGAAATGTCGAGTAAGCCATGGGTTTCACGGTTCGTGTGGTGTAACTGGCTGTGCCGTGTTATAAGATGTGTTCAAGACAATGTTCGGATGGCGATATGTATACATTCAAGGCACGGTTCTTGACTGCGAGTCTGCCCTTGTGTAACCTGTCCTATGTATGCACTCCCGCAGATGGACGACATAAACTACTTACTGTAGGAATGAACGGTCAAGGTTGACAGGTGCATCATGCCCGTGGGCATTACACTGCTGCTGCCTTCCTGTGCTATTATGAGTTTCCTCTTTATTGAACAGATCAGGCGCTGTTCACTCCCGCCTCTTATAGAGCTATGACTCTCATGAACGAGGCAACACTCTACTACCGGCGGGGTAACTGAACACTCGTCAGCACATAAGCCGAGGTTCTGTAGCAACCGCGAGAACACATTTCGTAAAGTCGATATTATGATCCTTAGAATATAGGGTCAAGATAGGGTTCAAGACTCTTTTCACTGTAGTCCTGTAAAGTGTAATAGGGTAACTTGCGACCCACCGAAGTCCGGCATAGTCGCAACTCACACCAAAGACACCGAATTCTGGACCTCCTCCTCGGACTCCTCCTCGGCTCTTCCACCAGTCCACCACGGCCATCACCCCTTCTCGTCTCTTCCTTCCCCTCCTCATCCCCGTTGGTTCGGTCACTCACCACTACATGTATGCTTCGAACTCCTTCCCCTATCCTCCACGCGGTGTTTTAGACCAGACGAAGAGCAGTGGAGCAATCCCAAACTGTGTTCGAAGGGGCACCAAACCGGGAACAGTCAACAGTGTCTACCTTGTTGCAGGCTTGCAGCGGTGGCCAGTTCGGTGAAAGCCGCTTCTACCGCTATAGCCGCTGGTCCATTGAGGAGTTTCTGCTAGAGTCTAGAGCATGGAGGAGGAATGGGAGGAATGCGGTTCAATGAGTCGTGTGTCCATCCACTCGTCTCCCAGGTCGGTCCCTCCTGGTGAAGGTAACGCTGGAAATGTACCATGTTATATGGCACGTGAGAGGGTTTGGTAGAGACGATGCGCATGCAAAATGCCTGTTTATACACCAGCCAGAGCCAGACTCGAGTTCATGCAGTGTTCATCTCCGAAAGGTACGTCTGGAGTTCGTTATTCCCTCTTGTCATGTGTCAAGACGTTGGAACTCTTGACGGGAGAAAGGAATATTACAAGTAACCGTCGTTGGTGGTGTGCTCACGGTACGTGCCACATTACAGCACCGAAATATTGGGTATTCCCGCCGTGAGTTGAGTTTCGGGAGCTTGTCCAATGGGTTTGTTCCAGGTGCGAGTGAGTGAAAAGAGGGGTGAACACCCACCTGGGCACACATCTCCATTCTCCAATATCTGAATTTCAGACGGATGGAACTTGGAAGTGTTCTAGAAGATGTGGAAGAGGGGCAGAGGGAGTTGTCGACGCTCAGGCCACACCTCACTGCCCGCCAGGGCTCCATCCTTCGACCAGTTGGGTGGGGTTCCACCAATGGTAATGTACGCTTCTGTTTCATGACAATTACCAAACCACACCTCGTACTGTACCCCTCGGGCCTCTCGCTGTCACCAAACACGTCGGAACGATCTCCGCGACAAACAACGCCAACAATGGGATGAATGGAAGCTCCCACCACGTCCACGACATTGCTATCCAACGGACAATTAGACTAGACCTTTGAACTTGCAACAATCTTATATGGGTTGATGCTGGAGAGGGACTTGGAGCTTGCTTTGCTTCCACGCTGTCGAATTCCTTATCTTGATAAGAAAAAAAGTTTAAGTGGTTGCGCCAGACAAGACACAAGAACTATGTGTCGATGTTGCAATGTCTCGGCAGGCAAAAAGCACCGTTCGAAGTCGCCATGCATCTCAAACAGTGTCTGCTTCTCAGCCGCTGGAAGCGATCGCCGTGCACAGTATGAATCTCGAGGTTTCCATACTCGAGCATTCTGGATGGGGCAGCCCCTCACTTCAGGCTATTGAGTTCAGTGTCTGTGTGCTCAACGTTCCTTTGCGGTCCGTCATCCAGCTCTTGTGTTCTTCGGATCAACTTCACAAACCGACCGACGACCTTCATTGACCGTAGCGAGCCGGCTTTCCCAAAAAGGCCTTGCGACTAGACTAGGAAAGGAGATGCCCTGGAAAGATCTCGATCGCTGTGTGCTCTGGATAATAAGCTTGACGACCTCAGGACGAACTTCCCTGGCAGAACGACAAGTTATCGCCAACAAGCTGTGTTATGCCTGCTTTGGGCGTAGGCCGCCTTGTCTGGGTTGTCTTTGGTTAGGGGTTCTGCCAATCTTTTCCAGAAGGCGACTGCTCAGAGCTACCGGACTTTCACTGGAAAGGCTCTTGATAGTTCTCTTCGGTGCCATTGCAGTATGAATGGGCGAAGGAGCAGTGAATGAGGGCTCAGACAAAACGTACTGATAAGCAAATGTCGATATCATAAATATGACTGACGCATTTGTGATATGTTTTCTGCCAGAATGAGCGACGAACATGATCGCCAACTTTCAGTGAGATGCAGTTGGTTAAGAACAACAGCGTGGGGTGTTGACGACATGCAAGTCAAATCTTGGATATGGGGTTAGCTCCAAGTGTCGTGCATCTCGGCATTGTCTGCGTTTTCTGGTTGGACCATGACTGCTGTGTAAGTTGAACATTCTGACAAGGGAAGTAAACATGTCAACGTTCGTGAGGTTGTAGACTGGCAGTGGAGCGAGGAATAAGAAATGACGATGTTTAGAGAAGGATGATGTAGGCAGAATGGCGATATCAAACCTCAAGCAGAACATAACCCGATCCACCTCCTGGAGATCTCGCTCGGCCGGGTCGCTTGTTCAACCCCAAAATGTTGATGAGATCCTGCACTTCATCGGAAGCGGCCATCGACTTGACGTATCGTCCTGTTCTGTTCACCCAGCCATGCCTGCTAACCGTCGTTTCTCCATCTGCAACATGAGATCACTTCATGGAGGTGGTGATAGATCGTACCTTATCTGCACTTTCTGAGGCTAGTCCAAAGTGACAAGGAGGGTTGCAACATTCCAGTCCACCAGGAGATCATCATTCTCTTGTGCGATCTGTTGGGAGAGTTGGCCGGAGCGTTTGACCGATGATACTGGTTTCTTTGGTATTCCAAGAACCGCATTTCAGGCTGCTCAACTGTCATCTGCATATCTCACTTGATATTACCCTCTTACGGAACTGTCCCTAGAACAGCCAAGCATCACCCGACATCGGATGGATGTTACGCTGGGGTCCACAGACAAGGACCTGGAGGGCGAGGCATAGCGGAAGTGTTGGAAAGCCCACATCAGCACGGATGGGGCGAGTGAATCGCCCATGGTCTAGAGCATCATGAACTCCACCATGCCGTCGGATTCAGTTGCAGAGACAGACGAGCATGTGTTTCTTCTGTGCTTCGGAGACCGAGACAATGTGTCAAGTCAGGTAGGCGAGTCGGGACCGGATGGCCTAGGCCGTTCGTAGACCGAACCCCAGGAACAGAGCAGGAGATCTGATATGGCAAGTGTTCGCCGAGAAAACGGTTACCAAACTCATGGCTCGGAGAAGGAAACGAGCCGCCGACTTGGCGAAAGAGTCGCCGGCCATATTTGCCCCTCCACGAGCCTGCCATGCAGATTGGAAATGATGGCTGGCCATGCTTGTAGTTCTTCAGGTTGAGAGGTATCCATCATTAGTCCGTCGCCGGCTTCTAGAACTTTGTCTCCAGGAGGAGCATGAGGTTCATTATCCTTCTCTAGGTCTTTGCGTTGAGGGACGGCCCGGGGGATATCGCTTTGTCGGACGACCATGTTCCTTGGTGAAGCGGAGGTGCCGGATGGAAGAAGCGTTTCCCTTCCAAGGGACCCGTTATCTGCACACCATATTCCATTTGGCAGCAATACAGCCCGTTTAAACGCAACTTTCAGGGGAAACTGATGAAGGGTACCTCCAAGTAGTTGTAGGGGGGAGGGGAATTCCAGCTCTGGGCTGAGACAGGTACATGGTAGCCGGCGTGTTTGGTTGACGGCAAGTATGATCTCTATTTTGGTGGCGGATCTGGCAGTCGTCAGCTATGCTAGAAGAGCTGAGGGCAGCAGCCGCAGGCTCCCTGGGATGGTCTCGTAGCCTCGAAAGCTCGAGATAATAACCTTGAATGTGTGAAGAGCCTAGGCCCACTATCCTCGTCAGAAATGGGTACCATATGACAACCGACTTCCGGGATAGAGGCGTTAGAGTTAGACGGATCTTGATACCTCTAGTTGGGACTGCGCACGTTTTAGCACATAACTGCTGGACGCTATGGCAGCACTTAGGTTGTCCATAGCTGGGCCAGTTTTTGGTTGTCCGCCACCATTGGCTTCCGGTTCGCGGAGAGGCTGCTCGGCTCTGGGATGAAAATCGGGTTGAGGGGGAAGATGATGGCGATGGAAAAGGAAAGCAGACAGACGTTCAAGATCAACATTCGCCTACGGAATACTATGGTGCCCCTCCCCTCAGGGGCAACACCAACTCTCTCAAGCGCCATTGTTGTACAATCGGCAAGGACAGTGGAGGCACCCTGTGCAACAGACTGTGCAGCGCCCTAGGGCACTACTGTGGACCCCGATCCACCCCTGTCTTGTGTCTCAATCTGGAATCCCCAAATGCACGCTGATTCGATGCGCTAACAGCGTAATGGCCGGCATCCCCAGACATCAGAAAATGTGGGCTTCGAGGACAATTGGATCCTCGATTCGTATAGTTGCCTGTACCGAAGTGACTATGTACTGGAAGAAGTAGGTAACCTTACGTCTTGACGTTGCAAGCCCCAGACGTGGTGGCAACCAGGTACCGCATCTCGTTTGCTTGTCTTGCGCGCACCCGTCTTGCCGTCATGAGGTGGACAGGAAGGAGGGAGACAGGCAGGTGCGAGGGCACATCATATGCCGTGTTAGGTTCGGGGAGGAGAGGTGGTTTCGGGGCAGGAGCGATCAGATACCTTCCCCCTCCTGCTGCCCGCTTGTTGTTTATGGTTGGAAGGTGCCGTGAAGGACTCAAGGTTATGCCATCATAATCTGAACTGGAACGAACTTAAAGACGGTCGCTTCTCCGCCATACCTTACACGATATCTTGTGCGTACCTTAACCTCGATACACGACCTTTACAACCGGTTACGTGAACAGATTCACTTTATATCAAAACACCTGCATCTGCTACATAGGCCTTACATAACAGCGACGGTACGTGCTCGTGTCTAATAGCAACAAGCTGGTTAGCTGTGCGCTCCCCCTCCCATCCTCTCTGCCCGCTTTTCGACCACAGACACTACTTCTACGGCCACTCGTCAGACAAAACCGACCACGGTACGGTACCTACCGATGTACAACTGCTCTTGTTTACTCTCTAGTCGTGTTCTTTTCTGCCGGGAACTGGACTCTCAGCTAACAAGTTGCCACCAAAGATTTCTGTGTCGTGCTACTTCTGTAGGTTGTTCCTCGTTCTAGATCGAGGGGAAGCTGAAGTGAAGAGTGCGGCGGCCTACTTGTGATGCGTACCAGAGTCATTGTTCCGTCGCCCATTACCTACCATCTCTGAAATCCGACACCCAACGCGGACTCGACGAAATACGCTCTACCCTCTCATACGCGAATCCCAGCCGTCCTCTGCCTACCGGTATACTAATCATCCAACGAAACAGCAAAAACAAAAACAAAAACCCGGGCTTTGTTTCCATCCCCGAGAGCGAAGGTCATATCATTCGAACTATTTCGGACCGCGAATCCTCCACCACATTCCGCTCGGCGTCGACTTCCCAACTCGGTGGTGTAGGAGTGCAGGAACGCCGCGACGCAAACCGTCCTGATTTGATCACTTCCAGAACTGGTCAACGCCAATCACCGAGACGTACGAGACGATCACAACCAGCAAGAGGAAGTTGGAAACTTTGGCACATCCTCGACGAGCCAGTTAGTAGAGGTTGTGTGGCATCACGCACATCCTCCACCCCCAGGCCACCCACGGGGCACCGCACCCCTGGAATCCAGCTGTGTCACCGTGTTAGCCTTCCAAGCGGAACGGCGACCGTTGCAACGGGCGACCTCGACTTGTCAGATTCCACCACAACACCACCTTGCGAGGTCCCGGTCGGGGATCAGGTTCAACGCTTGGAAAAAGAGCCCCAAGATCCCTTCACCTTCCAGGGGTGAAGAATCGCCATTCACTCGGCCACTTTCCGGCTTCCTCTAGTATTTTTTCCACCACCTCAGCCCGGTTCTCTCTTCTGGGTTTTGTTTGTTTCTCGGGACAACTCGCGTACGAGTGTCGACCTTTCGTTCACTGATTGGCAGCATTACTTTGCCATCCTTCTTCATTAATAATAATCACACGGTACAAGGCACGACATCCACGCACCCCTGTTGTTACGCCGTAACCAGGTCGCAGACTAGCGCACCCAGTACACCCACTGTACGACGCCATCCCTACCGCCCACACACCCCCCCGGACATCCGAGGCTCAGCACTGTTATCCACATTCGGTCGCTGTTAGTGCCTCCAGCCATGAAGCGCTCCCTGAAGTGGTTTGGTTCCAAAACCAGCCCCAGTAACAGTCCCGAGCCTGCGGAGCCCTCCGCTAGGGCCGGTGGAAATAATAGTTATCGCGCATCGCCTTCCTCTGTTTCTGCAGCTCCCAGGAACCCATCGCCTTCCGACTCAACAACCGGTTCACCCTCTTCCCTTCTTCACCCATCCTCGCCGTCGCCGTCCCCGACACCCCAACCGCCGACCCCCCGCGATTCCGTCTTTCCTCGATCCGATTTTTCGCTACCCGCTGCCTCGAAACCCATTGACATTGCGGTCCCCCATTGTCGGTCCACTGCATCCATCTCACCGGTTGACCGCAATCCCGTCACTTTCCCAACCCACGACCTCGACGATCTCGATATCGACTGGGACCAAGGTCCTTGCCTCGCCGACCTTGGTTTTGACCCCGACGTCGACATGACCGCCGGTCAACACTTCGACTCGGCCTTGAGCCGCAGTCGACAGGAATCTTTCCTAGGCACTGGCGCAAAACCCATCTCCATGGCAAACCCTAATCGCGACCACGCCAACCGCATCCGTCGTGAAAGCATGGCCGGCAGTCTTAGAGCAGGCAGCCTCATGGCGGGGAGTCTCATGGGTAACGGTATGAGCTGGGGCGGCATTTCTGTTGGAAGCTTCATTCGCGAAGAGTAAGTCGTCTCCGCCATTCCCTGCATTTAGGGGTACTTGTTTGTGTTCTTTGCGTGAGTCGGGAGCAGAGATCTGGGGTATCTTGGCTTTTGTATTCTGGAGCTGGATCGCCGCCGAGCACTGTCCTTTGGTTGTTAACAACGAAGCTGACCTGTTTCGATGCTGTTAGCATGATGATGACAGGCACTTCACCGTATCTAACGCACCAGTCTCCCTCGTTCCATTCTTCGTCGTATATCCCAAAACTCGAGGCCAACTTCATGCGCGATTTCACCTGCTGCGACAGGACGTGGCCGACACTACATGATCTCCTTCAACATTACGAGGAGAACCATCACGCCACCGCAGCACCCAACACCTCCAACCAGAACCTCAATACCTTTGGTACCAATCAAGGGAACGCACGCGGTACTGCCAGTCGTGCCACTCCAACTCCTGTAGTGGGTAGAGCTCAGCCAGGAGCCCAGGCGATGAATGGATACCAAGGTCAGCGTCATTTGAGTGTTTCTGGCGCAGGAATGGGCCTCGGCGGTATCGGACAGATGATGCGGCAGCAACAGGTAGCTCCAGCTGTGCAGAAAATGACTTCCATGTCACATATGAACGATGATATGGATACCGTCGGAGAGATGGAGCTTGACGAGACCGTGGGACCTATGGAGATGGACGATAATCAGCGGACAATCCAGCAAACTCGGCAATTGTTTGGGCAGCAGCAGCGTCCTCAACTACACCTGAACAGCTCTGGGCTTCCGCACCAGGCTTTGCGCACTTCTCAACCCCCAACTCCTGCTGCTGTCAGCTTTGGTTTCCAGAATAACCCGACTGTTTCGTCAGTCAACACACCAACCCTGACAACACAAGGAGGCCTACCTCAGCGGGGACAGTTTGGTCAGGAAGATGACAACGGTGATGACATGTCCGGAATGCCTATGAAGATGAACCTCGGCGGCATGAACTTGAACGGCGGTCAGCTCGGAGGACTGGCAGGAAACTTGGCTTTCGGAGCTCTGGGAACGATTGATGATCCCGCAAAGAGGCTGTATAGCCCTGGTGGTACGACTCAGATGACGAGCCAGCAACGAGCGTTCGATGCCCAAATGCAGATGCAGCAGCAGTTGCAGCAGCACCTGGCGTCGATGAATCTCGATCTGAACCAGCTTGCTCCTGGTACAGATCCCGCTCTGCTTCTGCAGCAGATGACTGCGCTCATGATGCCGCCGACAGAAGAACACAAGCCTTTCCGCTGTCCCGTCATTGGATGCGAGAAGGCATACAAGAACCAGAATGGTCTGAAGTAAGTTTTTTCCCCAAGGTGTTTCTCCTTTGAAGTGGGATTTGTTTGCCCTTTGCAGAAATTTTCTTTGGTCGGCCACCAACGCCAACCAACCCCATACTCCCGCTTTCCCCAACTGCATTCCTTCCCCAAGTCCCACTAACAATCGAACCAGGTACCACAAGACCCATGGACATTCGACCCAGCAATTGCATGAGAACGGCGACGGTACCTTCTCGATCGTCAATCCGGAAACGAGCACGCCTTACCCTGGTACTCTGGGTATGGAGAAGGAGAAGCCCTTCAAGTGCGACGTTTGTGGAAAGCGCTACAAGAACTTGAACGGTCTCAAATACGTAAGTCGATATCTAGGCCATTGTCATATACAGAAGTGATGCTAACACAGCTTCAACTATAGCACAAGCAACACTCGCCCATGTGTGACCCTGAAATGAGAGCCCAGCACCAGAACCTTATCTCGACCATGATGTCCAACCCAGCTGCGCTCATCGCTTTCCAGCAAAACCTGCCCAACATTAACGAAGATGTTATGTTGTAGGACGACAGCGCATTTGATAAGCACTTGGACATGGCCAAGATCAAAAACGACTTTGCGTCGTCCAATCTGGCAGTCCACGAGAAGCTCAATATGCCCAAAGTCTTCGGTTCGACGTTGTGGGGCAACACGGCATCCGATAATGATGTATCCAAGCCTTGGAAAGATCTGATGGCGGAGCCCTGTCTCCGATTCCCGATAAACTACCGTCAACTGCTGCGGCCGCCATACAAGTCACGCCTCGGTTAACAAAACGCCTCTCATCTCTGTTTTTCATGTCTGACTTTACCGTTGTGTTTTGGGGGTCGGAAAAGTTATATCTCGGGTTTACACTACGCCTTTCAGTAGCAGCATTTTGCCTGGCGTTGTTCTTTTCGATATTTGTTACGGTACAAGAGGGGAGGAGAGGAGTGAGTGAAGAAAAGAAGAGTCAAGTGTTTTTTATAGGCTTTGTATGGCTTTGGTGTTAGTGTTGGTGTTGGTTCCTCGCCGAGAAGAGAAATATTCTCGCGGGAGAGCGTTAGCTTAAAAAAGAGGGAAGGAAAGGGACATCAGGGAAACGAGTAAAAATTCAAAAGCTAAAAGGGTATGGTAGCGAATTTCTGTATTTTCGGTCTCGGAATTTAAGGGAAGAAGAAGGCGAAGAATCTCACACAAAGAAGAAGAGGGTTTTGCCGGCATATACCCCCTTATACCCCAGGGAGAGACGAAGAGAAGAAGACGGACGAAGAAACGAAGGAAAGACCAATATAGATGTGTAGGATTTTCATAAACTGGTTCTCAGGTAGCGTCAGCGTCTTACCCGTTATCCGCTTTGATTTATTCACTAGAGGCATCATCATCATCACGGGGAAAGACCGAGTTGAGGTGCTAAAGAATGCGAGCGGGATGGATGGAGGAGATACCCCTGTTTCCGGGAAGGCTGCTGCTTGCTGCTTTGCCTAGTTCGGGAAGAGCCATGTCTATGGAGGAGCGTAACGTTACCAAGTAGAATTATCTTTACCATGTTCGTTCTTATTCTTAATTGGGAGGTCTAGGTGGTAGTTCGGTAGCCTGATTTTTTTTACTCCTTTCTACCTATTTCGTCTCTCATTTTCGGTGTCGGTCATGTCCAGGCTTCTGGAAAAGGGGGGGGGGGGTTGTCTTGTTTTTCTTCGGGTGACTCGCCCGTCTTCAGCGGCAGAGCGGAAGTGACAAGTGTTCTACAGTAGATGATCGATAGATTAGACAAGTTAAGTGTTCTATCGTGAATTTCCTATTGAATGCGAAGCTTGCCTGTGTCCATGTGTACCTATGGAAAAACTGGATGTATTGCTTTACACTTGACAGTTCGTCCTGCCAGTCGTGAAAAGGACATGATCGTTTCAATTATTGTCTGTATATTCGAGAATAGAGGAGAATCAGGTCGAGTATGTAGTGGCATATCATTCGTATGTGTCCTGAAGTCTAAAACAAAATATGAGAAAACAAATAGCTTTCGTCGATGGCGGATCATGCCAATGACAGGCTGTCTATAAACTTCCTCCCCCCTTTCCCTTTCTGACACACGTGAAATTCGCATGAGATTTGATATAGAGAATCCCGCCAGGACCACAGGTAAATACTGTATGCATCTGGGCTAAACCTTCAAATGCTTTTGCTCATGCATTATAAAACTCCAGTTGCGCTAACGAACAAAGTCACACCCCTCCCTCCCTACCCCTTCACCACCAAGCACCAAAGTTTATACCTCAATCGTGAAATGGCTGATCTGCGAGTAATAAGCATGAACAGCCAGCTCAAGGAGCCACACGTCACCAAAGACCTCGGCACCATCGAATCCGCCAATGACCAGCAGACGACTATCGTAGAGCACCGCGCCGTGATATCCCCTCCCGCTGGGCGGTAAGCCGTAGACCCGCCTCTTGTCCCACGACATGGTCACCAGGTTTAGGAGGAGGACCTCGTTGGAGTACTCGTTTCCGTCGTGGCCGCCAATGACGAACAGGTACGAGCCGACGATGGTCGCCGTGTGCGACAGCCGGCGGTACGTGATGGGGATCTGGACGGCCTTCCACACGTGCGTGTCGACGTCGTAGACCCAGACGTCGTTGAAGCACTCACCGCCGTCGGAGCCACCGTAGATGATCAGCTTGGAACCCACCATGTTGGCGGTGTGATAGCCGCGCGCCTTAGGCCGGATATCGCCGCCGCTAGTGGACATTCCTGATGCTCGTGCTTCGCTCTTCCCACCGCCGCTTCCTCCTCCTCCTCCTGTCGATGATGAAGATGACTGATCGTCTGGCCCCGGTGACCCTTCTGATATTAGTTTCCACGACATTTTGTTGATGTCGCTCACGTCAAGCCGCCATATGTCGTTGAGCGCGCGGACACCGTCACCGCCGCCGAACACGTAGATGCCGTTCTTGTAGAGACATGCCGTGTGCGCCCGTCGCTTCGAGGGGAAGTCCTTCCCTAGGATACGGGGCTTGGACCACCGGAAGTTGACAGTGTCCAGCACGTAGACGTCGTTGTAGTAGCTCGGCCCGTCGCCGCCACCAAAGACAATCAGCTTCTTGCCCACGGCGGTGCACGTCATGGCGCGCAGCGGCACTGGGATCTCGCCCACCACCTGGGGAGCTGACCAGTAGAAGGCGTCGGCGTCCAGCACGTACAGCGAGTTGAAGCACGTCCGCGAGTCGCACCCGCCAAAGACGTAGACGTTGGACCCGATCAGCGTCGTGGTATGCGCACGCAGCGCCGTGTGTGATGCTCCTGATACGGGCGCCTTGCTCCAGTACATGCCGGATGACGGCGCCGGGGGCACGTCCGGGGCGGTCCGGGGATCTACCAGCGGCGGGAAGGGAGCGTGGTGTATCATTTGGGCACCGGGTCGAGCGCCGCGTGTGCCGCTCGCGCGAGCAACGGCCGAGGAAGATGCCGAGGTGCCAGGGCGGCCGCTCGCGATGGCGGATGTGGACCGCATGCCGGCCGGACGCCTGGATGATGCCTCCTTACCGCTGCCGGCAGACGAGTCCTTGCGCTCTCTCGTAGTGGCAGTGCCTATTAGGGTTGTCGTGGAACCTATTAAGGTTGTCGTGGAAGAATGTGTGCTATCTCGGTTATCGGGTAGGGCAGTGCTCGGCTGCCTGTAACCTGTCGAGGAGGGCGTCGGCGTGGCTGCTTTGTGGGGAGGGACGGCGTGCGGATAGACGGGCTGGGAGACGGTCAAGGAGGAGGCTGCGTTGACAGCTGCGTTCACAGCCGTTGAAAGCGAGCGCTGGCGAATGGACAATTCCGAGGCTTTGGATAGCTCAGAGGGTCTGCGCTGACGGTCTTGGATCTGGGTCCGGGTCGATAGCTGGCCGGGAGTGTGTGTCTGGGAGCGGGGGACGGGAGGGGTTCGAGCATGGAGCTCCTCATCATCGAAGATGGCGGATCCCCTGCCCTCGGTGGGAGTAGTTGCGATGGGTGCGATCTTGCGTGAAGGCATAGCGGTGTTCAATGGCGACTGCGGTATGGGCGGAGGCGGCCTGTCCCGCCCTGCTCCTGCTCCTGCTGCTCTGGCCTGGTCCGCCATCGTGGATTCATATGCGCATGTCGCGGCGCATCAATTGAAGGGGTTCTCGGCGGACGAGGAGACAAGAGCCCGATGTCGTGTAGGTATTCGGTGCCCCCTTTGTCCGTGTCGGTAGCGTCTCGGTTGCGTTTGGCCAATGCTCTGCGGCACGAGCTGAATACGTCGATAGGGCGGTCGAGATAGGAGGGTGACTGGCGATCAGGTACCGGGAGCAAATGGGACTTTGGTTGTAACGGTAAAAAGGTCGGGTAGGGAAAGACGGGAAGTTTATGTTCCTTGGTTGAGGCAGTGAGGAGGTGGTTCGGGTGTTACTGTGATGTTTGTTGGAGACGGGACTCAAGCATTAGTACGCTAGTGCTGTAATTGGGCGGCATGGAAGAACGGAAGCAAGGCCTCGCAGATGTCAGCCCTCCACACTGAAACTGCACACACTGCGGGCCCTTGCATAAACTTGTCACTGTGGGCGAGCGGGGTGCCATTTGGCCATTCGTTCAGTGCCATCCATTTTCAGGAATTACCTCTAGGGTCTCATGCTTCCGTCTTCCGCTCCGGGCCTCTGCCGGACACCCACTTGCCGACGGGAGTTTCTAATCCGGGACCGAATTTAGAGGTATGCCGAAGTCATGCATGTTGAGGTAAATGTTCGACTTTTGGTCCATACTACCAACTCCTTTTGCTTTGGTCGACTGAGGCCCGGACCTATACCATAATAGTGTCTGCCATCTGATAGCACAGCGGCCCGTGTCCTATGTGGGGTGGCCGATGGAGAGATCCGATGATAGAGTCCGGGCGAGATCTCTTGATCAATATTGTCACAGTACTGTTGTGATGCCTGGTTTGTGGGGTTGCACACTGAACGGGACTTTGTGGACTCTCAATCTTTGGGACAGTCTAGATCCGGAAGCTTCATTCAGCCTTATCAGACTAGCACCTTGCTGGCCGGAATTGCAACAGATTGCTGTGGTTGTTTAAGGTCCGGGTCACCTCAACAACTAAGCAGTTGACCACTGCTAAAGTATTCAGGAATTCACAGGAGCGGCCGTTCCCAGCCCTGCCCACGAAAAAGGAGGTACCGAAACCAACCGAATTGAATGCTGTGATTGGAGCCGACTGCATGAGGAAGCAGATCGGCGTTGGCACTAAAACACCGATTTGATCGCTAACCCCGCTGTGGGCCCCCAGTCTAGGCCGCTCGCTGCTCCCGGGGATGCACTCAACGCAATGGAATTTCCAGGTTGCAGCGGCACGGGTGGGTACCTGTTACGGTTCCCGAGAACGGGCCCGGGGGTGCAACACAGATGCAAATTTCACATCCCGGCCGGCAATCCAGCTATTAGTCTCACCCGACCTAGCACTCAACTTGGGGTCAGACTCATTCGGGTACACTTCCACTCTCAATCTTATAATGGAGTCCCAAGAGACGGCAAAGCGTCCTATCGAGGAGCCCAACGACGCTGTTGTGGTTCAAGACGCCGAGCCAGCATCTAAGCGCGTTAAGCTGGACGATCAGCCTCAACCTCAACCTCAGCCTCAAACCGAAGAGGAGAAGCCAAAGGAGCAACGGCAAGATGACAGGGATAAGAGACGGGGCATTGCTCCCATTAAGAAAGAGTTAGTACATCTTGTTCATCTTCTCATCTCTTCATACAAGCTTACATGTCCTAGGTATCTTGTTGTGCTCCCAAGCCAGGTCGCCAAAACTGCCGAGGTAGTCGATGATGATGCTGCCGAGGGAAGGACTGCTCCTGATGCTGAGGCAGCTACCGGAAAGGGAGGAAAGAAGAAGAGGCCAAAAGGCCAGAACAAGGAGCGTGAGTTCGGTATCTTTGCCGATGCTCAGCGCCTGTGCAACTCTGTTGCCTGGACCCCCGAGTTCTCTCCCCGGCACTGCAAGCATGGTGAACGCTGCAACGCTCTTCACGACATCCGCAAGTACCTGAAGGAGGGCCGTCGTCCTGATCTTAAAGTCTTTGGTGGCAAATGCCCAGTCTGGGAGACCCACGGCAAGTGTTCATCTGGCTGGCGTTGTCTCTTCGTTGAAAGCCACATGAAGGAGATTGAGCACGAAGATGGTCGGAAGGAGTTGGTTCTCACCGACGACCCTACCAAGATAAAGCCAGAGACCACTTCTTCAGTACCGCCCGAGGAGGAGTCAATGGATGCCAGGGCTGGTGTATACAACGTTGTCGCCCCGGCTGTTAAGCTCGCCCTGTCGCGAAAGAAGATTCAGCATGAAAAGTCCGACCAATACCTGAAATGGATGGCCAAGGACTCCGAGCTCGCCCGGATTCACTACCACAAACAGAAAGACGACGACGACGTGGCCAAGGACTATGCGGCTCAATACGTCGAGCCCCCCCTGAAGCCCTCAGAAAAGCGAAGGATCTACTTCGGCCGCGAGACCCCCGTGCTCGCCCCCTTGACCACGCAAGGAAACCTGCCTTTCCGCCGTCTCTGCGTGGAGCTGGGCGCCGAAATCACCTACTCGGAAATGGCCCTGGGGCTCCCTCTGCTCCAAGGACAAAAGGCCGACTGGACCTTGATGCGCGCCCACGAGAGCGAAATCACTCATCCGCGCTACACGCCCACCGGCATCGTCGACCCAGCATACGACAACGCCAAGGATCTCAAGTTCGGCGTCCAGATCACCGCACATGCCCCCTGGATCGCCATCAAGTCCGCCGAGACCCTCGCCCGCTACCTCCCCCACCTCCGCGTCATCGACCTCAACTGCGGCTGCCCCATCGACATGGTCTACAAGTCCGGCGCCGGCTCCGCCCTGCTCGACGCCCCGTCCAAGCTCGAGCGCATGATCCGCGGCATGAACACCGTCTCAGGCGACGTGCCCGTGACCGCCAAGATCCGCATGGGCGTCCGCGACAACCACCTGACGGCCCAAAAGTTGGTCGAGCGCCTCGCGCTCGGCGCCCCTGACATTCGCGCTGTCTCCGGTGCCCCGGGTTGCGCGGCCGTCACGCTGCACGGCCGCACCCGCCAGCAGCGATACACCAAGGCGGCGGACTGGGGCTATATTGCCGAGTGCGCGGCGCTGGTCAAGTCGTTCAACGAGAAGGCGGACTCCTTGCAGGACACGATCCGCGAGGCCGACGAGCGCAGCTTGCCCAACGGCGGACGCATGTACTTTGTCGGCAACGGCGACTGCTACTCGCACGTGGACTACTTCAACCACGTGGACAACGCCGGTGTGGACTCGGTCATGGTCGGCCGCGGCGCCATTATCAAGCCGTGGATCTTTGAGGAGATCACGGCCGGCCAGTACCTGGATAAGTCAGCCACGGAGCGGTTGGCGTACGTGGAGAAGTTTGCCAAGTACGGTATGGAGGCGTGGGGATCGGATGAGCTGGGCTTGAACTATACCCGTCGCTTTTTGCTCGAGTTCTTGAGCTTCTTCCATCGTTATGTGCCGATTGGCTTGTTGGAGTACTTGCCCCCTGCTATGAACGATCGGCCGCCGGCGTATAAGGGCCGGAACGAGCTGGAGACGTTGTTGGCTAGTAAGAATTATTTGGATTGGATTAAGATCAGGTTAGTTGCCCCCCCCTTGCCGTCGTGCCTTTGGGCTGGCTCTCTAAAGAAAAAGTTGTTCGCGGAATTTGTGCTAACATCGTCTGCAAAACGAAAAATAGTGAAATGTTCCTCGGCCCCGCTCCTCCCAACTTCAAGTTCCAGCCCAAGCACAAGTCCAACGCCTATGAGAATATCGAGGCCGAAGGTTAAATCAAAGGAGATCACCACCGACCGCTCAATCAGAAAAGGGTGCACAGAGGAGGAGGCATAAGAAAGAAGGCGCCTTTCAGGGAAGAAAGATTCATGCAGCTAGCTGGATCGCGAGTGACGTCGGTGATAGATAGATATATATAAAATAAAAAGACTACGTACATAATGAATCACACCTATACTGGGAACATAACTTGGGACATCGAAAATGTGTAGTAGAGAAAACTTTTGGACTTGCAGAGAGAAAGATTGTGAGAGCTCTTATTGTACTCCTAAAACACACACACGGATGGCGACATCATCACCACAACGGTTCGCTGCGATAGACTCTGGATATGTTCATATGTCCACACATGAATGAAGCGAGGGTTTGCTGAAGCGCGCTCGCGAGTTGTACATCTGTACTACAGCTTACTCCGTAAAGGGCTATCTATCTATGCAAGGAGATGTTTAGTACTCTGGATGGACATCATGATCATCGATTCTGCTGCTCACTTATAAACAAAACTTTACCTGTGCAATTGAAGCCGAACATTGAAAACAAGGAGGGCAACTGTGATAAGCACATGTCAAGCACCAGTCAGATAGATCATTAGGTCTTTCATCCGATCTGGATTGTCGTCATATATATGAAAAGCCCTGCCTATTCCATCCGTTCGTTGTAAACTGGTTTCCTCTCTTTCTTCATCTTTTAGTATCTTACCGTGTATTACTTTCATAATTTTACGTGTTGTAACACCAAGCGTACCATGGAAAACGCGAGACATGAATAATGAAGGAGCTGTCATTCATGATTACAATCTCATGCCTCTAATAGCATACATACATACCTGAGTAACGACCGTTCTACGTCAATGTAATGTTCACGTCATTGCCCTTTCTTTTTCAACTTTTCCTTTTCTTCGTACTACCAACAAACTCGCTAATGAAAAGACGGTATGATAATGATGACATACGGTAAGGATATATCTATGAAAAAAAAAGGATAACCCATATAATCGCTACAAGGTATACAACAACCAACAACCAACAACCAACACAAGCTGACGAAGACTCCCTTTGTGTGTGTAAGCTAACCAACCACTAGCCAGCCACGCTTCCGTCCCTATGCCCATCCTATGCCGCCCGGCGTGGGATACGCCTCTCCACGCCTCGTCTCGCCTCTCGCCTCTCTCGTCTTTGATTTTCATATCTTGTATCTCCTTTAGCTTTTGGACCGCTTCCGCTTCCTCCATCCGTCATGCACCATGTTCAAAGCGCCCTTCCCTTCTTAGCTCGCCCGCCCGCCCGCTCGAATGGGATGAAGGTACGTCTGATAAAAGACGTACCCACCCACTCGCCCACTGTGTCATCTAGGTATAAGGATGTAAAGAGAACCTTTCAGCCTCTTATGATAACAGTGTTGTAACTGATCGTTGTGTTTGTGTCTGTCTTGGTTGATGACGCTTGATTAACCGTTTCTGCCCTCCTTCCTTTCGATGCGTAATGATTAGTTTGAAGAAGCAATCACACGTGCCTCTGCGTACTTGCATTATGGTCTTCCTGTGACCGTAAAGCACGGTGATTTCCTGTGAAGTAGGCGTAAGATCAAGGAGTTCGGGTTTTGACTGCTGCGGTGTCTGGTCGTTGGGTTGGCGATTCGGTGGCCATTGGGTGGGCCGCTCCCAGGAGGCCGGCGCTTTGCACAT